GGTACTCTGGTCAGATTAGACTAAAATTGAGCTTTTTGGCCATCAAGGAAAACACTATGTCTGGTGCAAACCCAACACCTCTCATGACCCCGAGAACACCATCCCCACAGTGAAGCATGGTGGTGGCAGCATCATGCTGTGGGGATGTTTTTCATCGGCAGAGACTAGGAAATTGGTCAGAATTGAAGGAATGATGGATGGCGCTAAATACAGGGAAATTCTTGAGGGAAACCGGTTTCAGTCTTCCAGAGATTTGAGACTGGGACGGAGGTTCACCTTCCAGCAGGACAATGACCCTAAGCATACTGCTAAAGCAACACTCGAGTGGTTTAAGGGGAAACATTTAAATGTATTGGAATGGCCTAGTCAAAGCCCAGACCTCAATCCAATTGAGAATCTGTGGTATGACTTAAAGATTGCTGTACACCAGCAGAACCCATCCAACTTGAAGGAGCTGGAGCAGTATTGCCTTGAAGAATGGGCAAAAATCCCAGTGGCTAGATGTGCCAAGCTTATAGAGACATACCCCAAGAGACTTGCAGCTGTAATTGCTTGTCATGGATTCAGCCGAGGCTGCTCCTCCTCCTTGCTCGGGCAGGCTTCGGCGTTCGTCGTCCCCGGAGTACTAGCTGCTACCGATCTATGTTTCGGTGTTTGTCTTGTTTGGTCTTTATTGTTTACACCTGTTTCCTATTATGTTGCATTGTATTCCCTTTAAATACCCCTGTCTCTCATAGTTTATTGTGTGTGATTGTTTTTCGTGAGGTCGGCAAGCTGTTATGTGCTAGTATTATTTCCTCCCTGTTAGGAGGTATTTTGGTTTTGTACTTTCTATACTGTGTTCAGTAAAGTACGTCTGCCAGTAGCTCGGTGGCCTGCGCTTGACTTCGTTACCGCATACACGTCAGCCTGACATTGCTGCAAAAGGTGGCTCTACAAAGTATTGACTTTGGGCAGGTGAATAGTTATGCACGCTCAAGTTTCCTGTTTTTTTGTCTTATTTCTTGTTTGTTTCACAAAAAATTTTGTTTTCCATCTTCAAAGTGGTAGGCATGTTGTGTACATCAAATGATACAAACCCCCAAGAAAACAATTTTAATTCCAGGTTGTAAGGCAACAAAATAGGAAAAATGCCAATGCCATATGAAAATAAACTCACAATATTCAGATTAACTCTTCCTAGAATCATAATCTTAAATATAATATATCTTGGTATTGGAATATCATTTTGTTTAAAATATTTACTCGCAAAATAAATAAATATATTCTGAAATGGACGTCACTGATATAAAATATTGGGATGAGGACTGGAACGACTACCTTGACCTCGAGGATGACACTCCGCTCCAAGATGGAGGCAAACTGAAGGTCACAGTGGCTCAGGCGTCCCCAAATATACAGGTCCCTTGCACCTCAGGAGCGGACATTTCCAGATGACTTACAAGGTATATACAGCAAAGTCTTATTTTTATCAGTTCAAATAAAGGTAGGGATAATTATTTAGCATATCTGTCTGAGGTTTTTGTAGGTTTATGTAATTATCTGCCATGTGAGTGAATAAAACAACTTGAAATACACACAATAGAGAACTTGGGGGAGGTATTCCAAAAATTTGAATTCACAATGTTTTGTGTTTGTTTTTTATACAGAGTTCATCTTGAATCTTGAAGTGTGTCCCCTGGAAGGCACATCTGGAGCTGACGCCCCCGAAAAAGTCTGGCCAGACAATTTCACGATATGTGAGGACACTGTCACTGGAGCTTGAAAAGGCATTACGGAACAAAGTCTCACAAAAACTCAATTCCGTCACCTGAGGGGTATGTTGCTGTCTAGAGTTGTTGACGAAGCACTGCAGTACACAACATATCATTTCAGTACACAACATATCACTGCAGTACACAACATATCCTGAAAAGTACCAGAAAATTCTAATGGCAAATGCCATAATCTTGAAATGGCCACACCTGAAGGCGAAATGGGGTTCACCCACTACGGTGTGGCTTACGTGCATTATGGACAAACTAAGGAACAGATGGAGAGGCATAGTCCGGCAAATATGGAGAAGAGCTGCAGAGGGTGAGGGAGCGTCTTAGACATCCAAAATAAAAAGTAGAACTGACACTCCAACCATTGGCGCCACCGACATGCCAGGCCCCATCAGATGCAGTATCACTAATGAAATAAGAAATGAGAAAGATAGAAGGGGAGTGGGATTTGAACAAGTTAAAAAGTATTATTGAGGAAACATTCACACAAAGGAGAGAGTTACTAAACCATGTGACAATAAATATGAAATACTGGAGGAATATCCCTTTTTAGCTTAGACTTTGAGCTACTCACTAACTCAACACGTACTCAGAGACATGCTGCCACTCAGGCGGTGAAGTTATTGGATATGAGTAGAGCCAAAATAGAAAAAATGGAGTGCAACCCACAGCAAAGGAACAATTCCAAGCGAGCAGTCCTCCAAGACAATGTGGAGAGAATGAACATTGCCTTGGAGGAAGACATAACGACACAAGACCCAAGTTGGATCGTAACACACAACCATTCTATAGCTGGCCTCCTGATGCTTCCCCACCTCCTTCGGGAAGACAGTACACTGTAAAGGAGTTTTCAGTAAGTGACTTTTTACAGTATTTAAACTATTGGTGTATGCTACAATAATTGTCATTCAATTCTATAATAAATTGTATTTTATTCATTTCAGGAGACTTCCACACCGTTTGATGTCACCACAGGACCTCCAACTCCCTATGTTGCGAGTATAGGAATGGGAGAAGGTCATGTGGTCTGATGAGACAAAAATAGAGCTTTTTGGTCTAAACTCCACGCGCCGTGTTTGGAGGAAGAAGAAGGATGAGTACAACCCCAAGAACACCATCCCAACCGTGAAGCATGGAGGTGGAAACATCATTCTTTGGGGATGCTTTTCTGCAAAGGGGACAGGACGACTGCACCGTATTGAGGGGAGGATGGATGGGGCCATGTATCGCGAGATCTTGGCCAACAACCTCCTTCCCTCAGTAAGAGCATTGAAGATGGGTCGTGGCTGGGTCTTCCAGCATGACATCGACCCGAAACACACAGCCAGGGAAACTAAGGAGTGGCTCCATAAGAAGCATCTCAAGGTCCTGGAGTGGCCTAGCCAATCTCCAGACCTGAACCCAATAGAAAATCTTTGGACGGAGCTGAAAGTCTGTATTGCCCAGCGACAGCCCCGGAACCTGAAGGATCTGGAGAAGGTCTGTATGGAGGAGTGGGCCAAAATCTGGTCAAGACCTACAGGAAACTTATGATCTCTGTAATTGCAAACAAAAGTTTCTGTACCAAATATTAAGTTCTGCTTTTCTGATGTATCAAATACTTATGTCATGCAATAAAATGCAATGCTGCAGAAATGTTTTGGTACCCTTACCCAGATCTGTGCCTCGACACAATCCTGTCTCAGAGCTCTACGGGCAATTCCTTCGACCTCATTGCTTGGTTTTTGCTCTGACATGCACTGTCAATTGTGGGACCTTATATAGACAGGTGGGTGCCTTTCCCAATCATGTCCAATCATTTGAATTTACCACAGGTGGACTCCAATCAAGTTGTAAAAACATCTCAAGGATGATAAATGGAAACAGGATGCACCTGAGCTCAATTTCGAGTCTCATAGCGAAGGGTCTGAATACTTATGTAAATAAGGTATTTCTGTTTTTATTTTTAATACATTTGCAAACATTTCTAAAAACCAGTTTTTGCTTTTTCGTTATTGGGTATTGTGTGTAGCTTGATGAGGATTTTTATTTATTTAATCAATCTTAGAATAAGGCTGTAACATAACAAAAAGTGGAAAAAGGGAAGGGGTCTGAATACTTTCCGAATGCACTGTAACTCAGAGAAAATACATATCACGTGGTGTTCCACAAGGTCCGATATTGGGTCCGGTACTATTCAGTTTATATATGTTACCCCTTGGCAGCTTATCAGAAAGCACAGCTTTGATTTTCACTGTGGTGAAAGGTGACAGAGCTAGAGCAGTGTTTGTCAGACCATGACACATCCCGAAAATCTGTATTCTTACAAAATCGTCGGGAGTGTCCGAACGGTTTGTCCAACAAACCATTATGACCCCTTTATGGAAAGATGAGACTATCACGAACACGATGGTGTTCTCTGTTTTGCATCTTGGGACTCGTCTGAAGTTGATACAGCCGATCTGCCAACTTCTGTCTGTAGCATCCGAACAGTTTGGGCTAGGTGAGATTCTCACGAACATGTACATATCGGTTGTTTTGCTCTAGGACGCCCACAGGCCTCACAAGACTCGTCTGAAGGTCCCCTGGTACCAGTTAATGGAAGTATACAGTATATGGAGACTGTTTAGTGCCAAAAATATGGGGTTAAATACATGTTAAAGAACATTTCTAAAAAGAACACTTCCTGATCTGTCGTATATCTCTGAGATATAGGACAGACACTTCAGAACAATCTTCCTTTACATTTATTTGGGGGGACTAACTGTTGTTCCATTTAGTGAATCTGTAATTAAATGTGTTTGTATGGGCTAATAGCAGTAAGACCAAATAAAATTGTTCATCAAATACTTGTTTTACATATTTTTTTTATACTTCAAGTGGTCTTAAAATTCTAAATCAAATAGCCAAATGACCTTCTTAAAACAATTCCATATAGCTTGGTATCTTTTGTTTTTTATCCTCTTATGTTTATTGTGTAGCATTTTAGTTTTTATTTTAATTGTTTTTATTTTAAAAAATCCTGTGAAGAACATCACGTTGCATTCCATGTCTGAAATGTGCTGTATAAATAAAGCTTGATTTGATTTGATTGCCACAGTGGAGAGCCCATACACAGAAAGTACTGATGTGGAGACTGTGAGGTTTGGAGAGTTTTGCCTGAAAATCTCTGATGATTCCCGCTGGACAACCCCTGAACCAGAGACCAGGCAAACAGTTACCAACAACTAGACAGCTGAGAGCACACAACTGGCAATGGCTCCACCATCAGATGACAAGGAAGGTGGGTCACACTCTAGCTTTGAGTCATCTTCATCCATAGATCACAAGATCTCATACCAATAGTATAGGTTAGAGCAGGGCTTCCCAAACTCGGTCCTGGGGACCCCAAGGGGTGCACATTTTGTTTTTTGCTCTAGCAGTACACAGCTGATTCAAATAATCAACTAATCATCAAGCTTTTATCATTTGAATCAGCTGTGTAATGATAGAACAAAAACCAAAACATGCACCCCTTAGGGTTTGGGAAACCCTGGGTTAGAGATTAGAGACAGTAAAAAACCAATCCATCACATCCTACTTTAATACACATATCTGTCTCTCCTCAGAAACAAACTCAACTCTTCCCTCAACGTCAGAACGGCCTGTCAATTCCCCTTCATTTGCGGCTGGCGTCATGGGTAAGCTATTTTAGTCTGTAGGCCTATGTTAGTCAGTTCAACAAGCTGAATGTATAGTTGTGATTTAACAACAACACTTCAGATATACAGTATGCTGAACAGAAATATGAACGCAACATGCAACAATTTCAAAGATTTTACTGAGTTACAGTTCATGTAAGGAAATCAGGCCCTAATCTATGGATTTCACATGACTGGGAATACAGATATCCATATGTTGATCACAGATACCTTTAAAAAAAAAAAGGTAGGGGAGGGGATCAGAAAACCAGTCAGTATCTGGTGTGACCACCATTTGCCTCATGTAGTGAAACACATCTCCTTCGCATAGAGTTGATCAGGTTGTTGATTGTGGCCTGTAGAATGTTGCTCCACTCCTCTTCAATGGCTGTGCGAAGATGCTGGATATTGGTGGGAACTGGAACACGCTATCATAGACGTCGATCCAGAGCATCCTAAACAATCTCAATGGGTGACATGTCTGGTGAGTATGCAGGCCATGGAAGAACTGGGACATTTTCAGCTTCCGGGAATTGTGTACAGATCGTTGCAACATGGGGCCGTGCATTATCATGCTGAAACATGAGGTGATGGCGGCGGATGAATGGCACGACAATGGGAATCAGGATCTCGTCACGGTATCGCTGTGCATTCAAATTGCCATTGATAAAATGCAATTGTGTTCGTAGTCCATAGCTTATGCCTGCCCATACCATAACACCCACACCCACCATGGGGCTCTCTGTTCACAATGTTGACATCAGCAAACCGCTCGCCCACGCGACGGCATACATGTGTGCGGTTGTGAGGCCGGTTGGACGTACTGCCAATTCTCTAAAACGATATTGGAGGCGACTTATGGTAGAGAAATGAACATTCAATTATCTGGCAACAGTTCTGGTAGACATTCCTGCAGTCAGCATGCCAATTCCACTCTCCCTCAAAACTTGAAACATCTGTGGCATTGTGTTGTGTGACAAAACTGCACATTTTAGAGTGGCCTTTTATTGTCCCCAGCTCAAGGTGCACCTGTGTAATGATAATGCTGTTTAATCAGCTTCTTGATATGCCACACCTGTCAGGTTGATGGATTATCTTGGCAAAGGAGAAATGCTCACTTATAAGGATGTAAACAAATTTGTGCAAAATAATTGAGAGAAATAATATTTTTCTGCATATAGAACATTTTCTTTTATTTCAGCTCATGTTGCATTTATATTTTTGTTCAATGTAGTTGCATGACAAATAACGGCTTATCAATGACCGATTGACCTTGTCACTGTCAAGGCTTCCCACCAGCCAATGGTGAACCGGGGCTTGTAAAGAGTGAAGGATGTCACTGTAAGACATGGCAGAAACACACAACCAACCGGTCCCTTGTCAGAAGCATAGAGTACAGGTTCCCTGCACCACCAGTGTGTAACTCCACAGAAATCATGTCAGTGTGTGTGTATGTGTATGTGTATGTGTGTGTGTGCGTGCGAACCGTGTGGTCAGTTAAATAGTCAGTATTTTTCAGTCATTAACCATTGCTGACATTCCTCCTAGTGAGACACTGGCGGATGGCAGGGAAGGTATGTGTGAATGCCACAAACTACTTTGCGCCACTGTTTGGGTGAGTCTCTGGATGTGATATAACACAATATACAGGACTTAATATATAATACAAATGTCTTAGCTTAATTTTTTGCTTAGCGTATTTGTGTGATTTGGTTTTCATAATCGAATAGCTGTAATATTCGGTAACTGTTCTTTCTTACTCATATCAGTGGGGAGTTTTCTTTTTATCTTACTCCTTCCCTGTTTTTTTGCATAGCATGCATATTGTGTTAAAGATAAGGTATACACAATTTATCTGTCATTTTACAACGTATTCCTCTGTCCTTTTCCCCTCTGGTTTGTGGCCATTTTAACTGAGCATGTAATAAACCGTAATGAATTTAATCAGATATTTTCCCCATTTCCTAGGCCTTTAAATGACCCAGACTGGGAAGGCACCACAACCCCTAGCCCAAACACCTCTACAGTGTCCTTGTCCCCAACCACACAGAGGAATCAATGAGCATGACACCATCAAGGGAATCAGGCGTGGATTTGTATAACTATTATGCGTATGACTATAATGTGTATGATTATGGTGGTTTCCCTGGTGAAGAACAAGCACGAGAACAAGCACCATCATCCCCAGGACCCCCAGGCTTACCAGGACTCTCTGGATCACCAGGTTAACTAACTTAAGCTGTCATTCTCAGTTTACTGTGGTCAGCCAGTGTGTTGTCTGTCATTCTGTGGAGGGATTGGGGTAGTAGTATAGCTATTTTACCCAAACAAGCCATTCTGTACCGACCTACACTATTGATAACATGGACTAAACTGAATGTTTATCCTAATCACTACTGGAAGAGGCTGACTAATGCCAAGCTAAATGTATAATGTATATTTTATCAGGTGTCTCTCTCTGTTTCTGTCTTAAGCAGGGTTCGTCTGCGTATTATTATTACTGTATTATTGTTCATAATTTACTCACCACACACTTTGTTTTACAGTACCTTTACAGGAATTTTGTTTGACACATTATACATACCTTCCTATTGTGAATGTTTGACTTAACATAACTGTTTCTTATTACTCTCCAATGTGGTCCTATGCACAGCGCAACTCTGAAGACAGGTCAGAAGATTTGTGTGGACCCCACCCAATCCCTGGTCATCAGAATTCTGAAGAGATTGCAGTTATAGTCAGACTCCACTTGAGGGAGTAAACCTAATTTCAATGCATCCTCCTGAATGCATCCTCCTCAATGATGCTATGCTGAGAAAGTTGTGCTTTATGATAGATACAGTATTTGCACAGCAGGGTATTGCTTTGACCCAACAGTTGTTAGTAAGTAGATGTTGCTGCTGATCAAAGAGCTAAATGTGTCAGCCTTTTGACATTTCATATCTGAAAAAGATGTTTGATGAGTAATGACTGATTCTTTCCACCCTGGCCTGTACTGGAAATGTATTATTATTTTATTTTTGGGGGGTATCTGATTTCGGCTAACTGGACAACTAAACCGCTGAATGAAATGAAAATCTAAATTCAAATGTAATATTTTAATTACAGCTTAAAGTCATTGCAAATAAACTGCTCAGTGCACTCTCTACCACCAATCTTGAGTATGGTAGTTTCCTTCATGACAACTGTAATATAACCTGGTGTTGTAAATGCAATACAACTAAAACTTGTGTCAGCAAAGAAAGTAACAGACTACTTATCATAATACATATGGTCTTCATCTGTGAACAGTTAGTGATTTATGACTGATCAGAGACCTTTACAGCATGCTCAGGCATAGGGTGATAATTGTTCCCTTTACAATGTCGCCATCTACTGAACATCAGAAAGAATAGTTGATTCTCTTATAAGAAAAAAAGCTGGTAGTTTGCTGTAGTTTTTGGAATAGCCTACATAACACAAGTCATCAAGTGGATAGTGAAATGATTTGAAGTGATGTGACTTAATCAGGGGCACAACTTTGGTTTTGAAGTGGGGGGGACATAGCCTGGCGGTGGGTCTGGGGGTCCTCCCTCAGATTTTTTGGGGGCATCTAAAGCTCATTTCCTGCATTTCTACAAGGACTGTCCCCGGCAACAACAAAAAAATCTTGTTGACCAAGAGTATCAATTGGTCGAAAAATGTTAAACGTGTATTTTCCCATTATATAGACACACCCTATGTGTTTAATAAAATCAACTAGGCTATATGTACTGACCTTGTCTGATGCTTTAAGCATGCTGTTTGATTAAATAATTAAGACACACAAATGACTCAAGAGAGAGCCAGAGATCAAGATAGCCTTCTGCCATTAAGCTCCTGAAGTTGCCTGTAACAGGCTACACCAGCGGTCGGCAACCTTTTCCATTTGGAGTGCCAATTTATCTTACCATTTCTACCAATCTGAGCCAGTTATGATTTTCATGTGCACATTTTCATGGAACAGTTTCATTTAATTTATAATATCTATGTATCTCAAAATCATTGTCTGTGGTTAATCTACATTCTATCTAAATCTAAATAAAAATGATACAAATCTAAAATAAACTTTGATTGCCATTGCCAACTATGTAAAAATAGCCTACATAAAGCCAACACATAAAAACATTGCAGCCTGCAGGTAGAAAATATCCTATAAATCACATTGGCTATGCATGACCTGTCTGCAACGAAACATTGCATAAAAAACATTGTATCAACTATCAACTGGGTCGCCTGAACTTGCGCTAGCAAACTTTAAACATTGTATAAAATATTCTGGGCCCTAGAAGGATTACTGTTATACTATTCCAGGTATTCCTTAAAGAGGTAGGGTTTCAAGTGTCTCCGGAAGGTGGTCAGTGACTCCGCTGTCCAGACCTTATGCAAGTTGCACAGTATACCCTTAATCTTGTAATAAATCAAATCTTGCGATACGTAACTTGACATTTTTGCCATCCATTGTGACATTGTGGGAGGATAACCAACATTCAAATGAATGGCAATGCATTTCTTAGCCGCTATAAATGCTAGGTTACATAGTTTCTTCTGATAACATTCTCCAGTATCAACATTTCCAAGCAAACAAAAACAGGGAGAAGGGAGAATCTGTAGACATGCTGAGATAAAAGAACATACTCTTTGACAGAATTCAGCCAGCCTTCACAAGATCATAACATGCAAATACGTCCCCTTTTGTGTTTTACACCATCAGCAGAGGAATTACATTTCTGAGTGCATGATATTCAGTTTCACTGGCATATAGTATGTTCTATGGATGGTCTTAAACTGCAGTAATTTATGTCTGAGACTATATAAACATGACTGGGCATTCAAACATATCTGTATCCATTCATCATCAACAATAGTGTCTCCCAGTTCTTCCTCACATTTCTGTTTGACATGTTGTATCTGCAAAAGTTCACCTCAGTGCCGTCACAGACTGGACTTCCCTGGTTGCTTGACCCTGCTGAGACCCCTGTCACCATCTGATCCTGCTCAGATGAGGCATGACAAAGAATTACCTTGGTGTACATTTATACATTATATTATCCAAGAATAGAATCAATGGTTCAATAATTAAAATGACCATTATTCCCAGATCCCAGACTGTAGCCTACCCATCAACTCAAGATGGAACTTTGTATCCATTCACTGATTGTAATAATATACTGCAAAACTAACCTGAGCTCCGTAGACTGGTCTACCCTGGCTGTCTGACACAGCTAGAACATCTGTTACCATCTGATCCTGCGAAGACATGATGAGCATAGTGTTGTGTACTGACTGTTCACTAGAGGGCTGCATTCCCGTTGGAAACTGACAGATCAATTACGTTACATTACTATACCGACTCTGATAAAAACTCACATTATGCTGTGAAAAAACGTCTGAATATCAGTCTTTAATCGTTTGGCCGCTGGTTTCATCGTTTGATTCAGGTCTAACATGATTGAGGCAAAAATAATAGCTAAAGTTAGTGAGCTAGCTAGCTAAGGTTAGCCAACTTTTGGTACTCTAATGGTACATCAACTGATGAAAACTAGCCAAGTGAATTTACTTCTGTTGAAACGGAACAAAAAGGCTACAAAACACTTCCACACACAACAGCTGTTAAAATACAGCTACCTGACAGATAGCTAGAGACTAGAGCTAAACTGTCTGTGGTAGCTACTAGCTAGCTAGTTCATTCTCTTCCGACAGAACTTCAGTTGAAAGGGGATGAAACATTACTGTAGCTAACGTTACATGTCAGTTACACTACTAGCTCAGCACTGGGAATAAATACTTTTTTTTCTGTTAAGTCAAACAGCAGTTACCTTGCCTACCACATCAGTCAAATAAAGAGTAGACAGTTTCTGCTCAGCTTGCTTTTACAACACAGAGAAAAAGCGCAACACACACAGAGACAGCAGCTGCAGACAGCAGCACCATGCCATTCAGACTTCACACAGCCTGTTATGGTCCTTTGAGAAATAATAGAATAAGGACATGTAGAATAAACTGAATATTTATTATAAATGTGAAAACATAACTCGTAAATTGATTAATGCATTTATGAACATGCAAGTAATTTTGCATGACAAATATGCCCTTATCACAATAAATGTGTTTGATCACATTCTTTCATTCCGGTGTGTGTCAGTGTGTGTGTGCGCTTATTTGTGAGCGTGTCTTCCCGTGTATCCTCTCCTCTCCCTCACTGCACCGTGAGTTTGGTGTGCTCCAGTTTCTCCTTCACCCTGGAACACTTCAGTATGAGCTCTGCGTGCCTCCTCTTCAGCCCCTCCAGCGTCTCCTCCAGGCCGTCTGAGGCATCCACCTTCTCCTCAAAATCCCTCTAAAGTGTATCGTTGCCCAGCAGGACAAGTTGTCCATACGGAGGCCGTCCCCCGCCTGCTTGGTCTTGGTCAGCACGTCCTGGTCACGACCGCCTCCACCTCGGCCAGCTGGGCCCGCTTGGCCTGGTTCTCCATCTGCACAAACTGGAGCTTCTCCTTCACGTGGGCCAGTACCTGGACAGTGCTGGTGATCTTCTTGCACAGTTTGAGGAGATCCTCGTTGCGCTCCTTGATCTTCTCGTTTTATGTTTGGTTCTTGATCTTCAGCTGCTTGAAGTCGATGAGGTGCAGGCCCTCGACGAGCTCCTCTTTGGCATGCAGCGGGGCCTCGAGCTTGCGATCCACCTTCTCCTGGCTCTGCTGCCGCAGCTCCTCGGCTTGCTGCTGGGCCACCTCCGAGTCGTGCCAGTGCTGCCACTTCAGGTCCTCCATGATGGCTATATACTTCTGGTAGCGCTGCTCCTGGTCAGACACAGCCTTCTCCTACTTAGGACGTGCATCGTCACCCGTCTTCTTGCAAAAATACTCCACCAGCTTGATCTGGAGCTGACCGTTGACCTGGCCCCAGGTTGGGGCGAGGAGAGGGATGGAAGCAATACTGTAACATCGGTTGAGGCGCAATCTGTTGCCTGTTCCCCTGCAGTATCTGGTGAGGCTTTTTCAGACTCCACTGCTCCAGCCTCCTCATCCTCATCTGCAGGGGTGTCAGGTTTATCCTTACTGTCATCAACATTAGGGGATTTGCCCTCCTCTGAGGGCTCTACAGCTTGTGTCTTCTGGAGTTGCTCATTGTTCTTCAGCTCTATGTTTTCAGTGTCATTATCTTGTTGCTCTGCCTCCCCATCCATGGGAATGTAGTATTCCTGACAAAAAAAAGCAAGAAAATCACTTAAGTGTGTCAATGAAGTCCCAAGGTGTAAGGCAACATTCAAATATATGAACACAAATTAATTTAAACACAGTTATGTGTCAAGAAATCCTAAATGTTAGTCAATGAACCTATTGGTGTTTTGAGTTGTCCTGGAAACTGAGCATGTAAGCCAATCACAGACCTTTGCGCTAAGCTTATTAATATTAATGAGACGCAGTTGTGAGACTCCAGTACGCATGCCCTCCCCCCGCGACACTGCTGCTTCCAACAACAAGCAAGAAGCCAGCAACATGGCCGACCTAGGAAAGAAGTACTGCGTAAACTGCCTTGCAGACGTTACGAATCTGCGGCTTCGCTGTACTGACTGCCCAGATATCGAATTGTGTCCGGAGTGCTTCTCCGCGGGTGCAGAAATCGGTAATCATCGGCGATGGCACGGTTATCAGCAAGTCGACGGCGGGCGCTTCACACTCTGGGGTCCCGAAGCGGAGGGAGGATGGACTAGCAGGGAAGAGCAGTCGCTACTCGATGCGATCGAGCAATATGGCTTTGGAAACTGGGTATTTTAATTTATAGCCTACTTGTCTCAGCTAGCTAGCTAAAATACAAACACATGTATAAAAGTATATAGATTAAATGTGAATGAGTAAAGTTACTCTCATGAAAATAACGCAATATATCTCCGAATACTTTTAACAACTTCAGACTGACAGCCAGGTCCTGTCGAGAGTTGGCAATATCGATGCAACTCTGCAAGCCTTGAAATCCACCTTGTTTTAGTCCTGATTACAGTTAGCTAGTTAAGTTGTTATAATGCATATTTCTTAATGCAAATGAACATTGCAATCCAGGTTGCAAACCTGCACTGCATTATGAACATACAGTAAACTTTAAGTGTAATGTAGACTAGTCATCTGTTAAAATGGATCTGTTGGTTTGTATCACCTATCAATGGAATTCAACACACATGTATGCTAATAGTGTATAAAAGTGTGTGTGTGTGTGTGTGTGTGTGTGTGTGTGTGTGTCTAAATGCTTGCAGTGATGTTTCCCTATATGTTTAACTATCTGCATTTTATGAGAGAAAAAACATCCCCCCCAGTAACACTTTGCCCTGTGTGTGTGTTGTCTTTCAGGAGGACATGGCCACTCATGTGGGGGCGTCTCGAACCCCCCAGGAGGTCATGGACCACTATGTCAGAATGTACATTCACGGCAACCTGGGCAAGGCCTGCGTACCCGAAAGCATCCCCAACCGGGTGACGGACCACACATGCCCCAGCGGCGCTCCCCTGTCCCCCAGCCTCACCACCCCCCTGCCCCCGCTGGACGTGACCCTGGGCGAGCAGCAGCAGCTGGGCTACATGCCCCTCCGCGACGACTACGAGATTGAGTATGACCAGGAGGCGGAGAAGCTCATCAGCGGCCTGTCGGTCAACTACGACGATGAAGATGTGGAGATTGAGATGAAGCGGGCGCACGTGGACATGTACGTGCGCAAGCTGCGTGAGCGCCAGCGGCGCAAGAATGTGGCCCGTGACTACAACCTGGTGCCCGTCTTCCTTGGGCGTGACAAGGAGAAGCCGGGCACGCTGGGAGTTGTAGGTGGCGGGGGTAGTGGTGGCGCCGTCGTAGGGGGAGGAGGAGCAGTGGGGACCCTTCTGACGCTGACCAATCCCATGGTGACTCCGGGTGCTGCAGCCGTTCCTACAGTGCCAAAGCGTAAGATCACCAAGGAGGAGAAGGAGCAGCGGGTCAAGTTGCGGGGGATGTGCCAGTTCATGGCTCAGCGGGAGTTTGAGGACTTTTTCGACAACATGCACAAGGAGCGCGTGCTGCGCGCCAAGGTACGAGAGCTGCAACGATACCGCCGCAACGGCATCGCACGATTGGACGAGTCGGCCGAGTACGAGTCGGCGCGGCACAAACGGGAGAAACGCAAGGAGAACAAGAGCGTGGCGACCTCAAAAACAGGCCGCGGCGGAGGGCTCTGCACTGGGGGAGGAGGAGGGGGAGGGCTTGGAGGAGGGGCGGGAGGTGGCGGAGTTGGCGGTGGCATCATCAAAGAGGAGGGCAAGGACGGCGAGTTTGCGGCCATCGAGAACCTGTCCGGTTTCGAGCTGCTTTCGGACCGGGAGAAGGTGCTGTGCAACACGCTCAACCTCAGCCCCACGCGCTACCTGACCGTCAAGACTATCATCATCAAGGACCACCTGCAGAAGCGCCAGGGCATCACCTCCAAGAGCCGCCTGCCCAGCTACCTGGACAAGGTGCTCAAGAAACGCATCTTCAGCTTCCTCACAGAGAGCGGCTGGATATCCCGAGACGTGTCTTAACAGTCCATCGAGTTTGTGGGAACTGGACTGGGAAGCGTCCTAACAATGTGTGTATGGAGTTTGTGGGGACTGAGGATTATAGAAGGATCATGACTCTGTTCTCCGTTGGATTGTTGCGTCTCGGTGTCTTGTTAGAAACGATGTGAGATTTGCACTCGTAAGCTCCACATGGACCAAACTACTGGATTTTACCACCTTTTGTCTCGTTTTGTCCGACGTTGTCGACCACAGGACTGTTTGTGAATATGTACATTGCAAAGAATAAGGATTTCACCTTTCTTTAAAAAAAAGTTTGGAACAAATATATATTTTTGCATTTGAATCCATATGAATGATAATGTATTCGTATGGGTAGATGATACAGAGTCTCTGTATTGCAACTCCAGTGAAGGATCGCCTAATACTGCTGGGCAAACCAGACAACACTGTTTCCAAAGCTGTTCTCAAAGTATAAATTGTTACGTATAGTTTGCCTCCAGCTTCCTTGTAGCCTGGTCCCAGATCAGTTGGTGCTGTCTTGCCAACTCCTATGGTCATTGACAAGATAACACCAACAGATCTGGGACCAGGCTAGCTTCCTTTAGGTTAGGATGTAGTTTTGGAGAGCACAAGTTAGTGCCTATTCAAACAGCAATACAGTCACACTGTGCTGGAACGCAGGTGGTACATCATCCTATTCTTCCCATGAAGAGATGAAGGCCAGCTAAGCATACAGGGGTCAGTATTTGGCAGCTAACGCTCTCATAGAGTACTGCGGTAATCCCCATTTTGACTCCTGTAGCTTTGTGGCGGTCTAACTTTGGCACTACGAGAGGAATAGCCTAACTTCTCACTATTTTGTTCCATCCACTGCACGATTTCTGATTCTAGTAGGCTATTTACTCTAGTCAACTTTATGTTGACCCTTCCATCATTGCATGCAAGATAAAGAAAAAGAGAAACTTTTAAACGTTTAAATATGGGCATTAACCAATGACATACGTACAATCCTTAAGCACAAATCAAAAATCTCTTGTTTGCCAAATGAGCATGTAGGCTATCACTAGTTTGCCAGCCCCTTGGTTTGGATGTTACGGTGTTAACTGTGTGACGGCCTGTCAGACTGTTTTTAACCTCTTCATGAATATGTGGTGCATGATTATTGTCTTCTTATCACCGGTTGCTTGCTGTTTTGTTAGCCAGTGTTTCACTTATCCAAAGGGAGTAAAGTCATATTTAAATTTTTTGAAGATCTACTACATTTGCTCCATCTACCTTCCTGGTTCATTGTTTGTTTACAGTCACGGCATTCATATAGGCTACTGTACACATCACATGGCCTTGCAAGTACAATATCAAAGGGCAGGAATAATTTGGTAGAGAAAAGGGACGACTGCCACAGAAAAGCTCGGTTGGTATTAGACATTGATGTTTCCCATTATGATATCAAATGTGTTTGTTCCAAGCACAGGTACTTTAAAGTGTCCACTGGCACCTTCTCTTTCTGATGTCCAGGTAGCCTGTTTAAAATGGAAAAGGTGAACTACAGCAGGGATGTGGATGTGGTTTGGTTGTATAGAAACAGTGTTGAGGAGTATCAAGTTTGACGCTGGGAAGTAGATATAGTGATCGCATACCAGAGGAGGCTGGTGGGAGGAGCCCGTCCTCCTATAGCTCCTCCCACCAGCCTCTGTCACATACGTATAGGCCTTGGTGGCATCCCCATCATAGTATATTTATCATACCACAGAAGTAATAAAAGCAATATATTTTATTTATTCTTCCCCAAAAGCTTGAAAGTATCCAAACCCAGACACTGACAAGGCCCCTGGATTCTCCCAATCACCTACTGGAAGATGTCTATTTGTCGCAACAACTGGCACAGTTTACGATCAAAGACTAGATATCCTTATCTGTTTTAAGGAGAAAACAACTGTTTTATGAAGAGTGACCCATAACGGCATCCTCTATGATTTCTTTTCACTTTCCTCTGCGGCCCGAGGGCTTTTGTACGCGTCGATCAGAGAGGTGGCAGGAGAGCGCCATTTAAATGTAAATTAAGTTTTGAATGGGCATCGGTTGACGGGGAGAGTTGGAATACAAAAGTGGGGTTGAGGCTGGGAGAGCGAGGGGTGGGTGTAAGAAGTAGTGGAGTGTTCAAGGTCTATCTCTCAAAGCATAGATTTTGGTTTGTGCTGCTTCTTGTTCTATTTTCTCCTTCCTCTCCCTGTCCATGTACTGACTCATGAAGAAATTCAACGAGGGATTTTGCCAGCCCCATTCCTCACTACTTTTTCTGCTGCAAGGAGCCAGTTGCCCTGCTTTCAGTGGTGGAGCTGGTCGGTCAGCCCAGTGTTATATTTATTAGAGAACACGTTTTTGCAACGAAAAACAAGCATTTCTTATTGGACAAGGCCAGGTAGTCCCTCCCTGTTTCACCCAATTGTCTTCTGTTTGGTGCCTACTGAATGAGACCCAGGCTGTGGTAAGAGGACAGCTTGAGAGGTCAGAGTTCAGTCTAGACTCTATCATTAGAACCTCTAAAGTTGACAGTACCTATTATCAGTCTCTCATTTCAGTTCCTGTCAAAGCTAGTAGCTAACTACTTCAACCATTGTCATATAAAAAGTTCAGAAGACATGAATACACACAGCCTGCTTCCCATAGCCTTGTTTAATAATCAGGGTGTGCCATTGCTGTGCCAAACCATTTTACCTATGGCACAGATTTTATGACCGAGGAAAACTCACAGTTAAGCTAAAGCTTCCCATCAGTAGAGGGCATTCAATTTATGGCATTCGGAATTGTTTCAGCCTATTTTTTTATGTACTTATTTCTGTTCAAAAGATATACCATTCTATAGGTGGTTGAAATTACACTTTTGTTCTCTGAAACAGTACCATTTGATGTGAGCATACAGGAGTGTTTTGCCTGTTTTTGCATGTGAAGCCAAGTGTTCTAAATAATTAAATGATGTAAACAGTCAATTTTGGTTAAAAATGGCTTGATTGAAAATGCTTTCCATTTGAATTGTTTCTAAATATCAATACTTTTCTATGAGGGTGGGGAGAAAGGTTTTCTATTTGACTTCTATGGAATTTTTTGCTAAAATATTTTACTAAATGTACATACTTTTTTGTAAGAAATTGAAAATGAACATATAAATACTGACCTGTGAAATGTACAGTATTTTATTTCAGGAACTTTTTTATAACTTTAATAAAAGAGAAAAACTCTTCTTAAATATGTGAGCGAGAACCATTCTAACAAGCCTTTTGGGTGTGTTGTCTTAGCATGCTGTTAAACTGTTCATGTGTATCAATAGTATGCTTAGGAAGTCAAAACATTTGTTGACAATTCAGTGGTTGAAAATGTTGAGGGGGAATTTTTGATGGCCCATTCTTTGTGGTTGCACAGGACATAGTATGTTTTGTATTAAAAGTGCAAATACTTTATACTTCTATGGCTTCCTTGGTTCATTTTTACAGCATCTGGTGAGTTGAGTATGTGGTAATATCGCTGACAGTTTGAGTGTTCTACATCTATGGACCCTTCAATGCTCCTACCTACAGGGTAATAGTCAAATTGAAAGCAATAAAATCAGGGGACTTCTGATTCAAAGTAAATCTGTTTATTTAGATGCTGCTGTGGCACTCACGCAACAGGACAACTGTTCAGACACTAGAATGTTCAGTTCAAATAGTTATTGGATAAACTCTATTTGTATTATGCAGTTATTAATATCCTAGACCACCAAGTCGACATCTGCCAAAGTAGTGAGGTACAGTGAAATCCGGAATGATTACATCAGGGGCTCAACATCATGTTGTTTATCTCCGGTGAATCTGTAATAGATTTGACCAGAGCATTCCCCTGTCATGGATTTAAAGATGGCGTAAATTCCCTCCAGCCAATGCTTATACCAATCCAATGCTTTTCAATTCATGATGGGGATTGAGCAAGTGCACACTTCAGCTGAAGGTTGGAGAATCGGTACGCAGTCTCAAAACAGGCTGTGTGATGATGTCCATGGTAATGATATCAGTTCGAGTTGGATTCCCGCCTCAGAAGCAACGTTAGGTGGTTGGGGGAGGGGATTTTGATTGGGTGGGGGGGCTCTGACCAGCCTGCTGTACCCAAGGTGATCCGTCACCCAAGCAACAACGACATCATAACGGTCGCACTGAATCTCTTTTTTTTAAGGGGCTTTGGCCACGCCCACCAGCGCCGGCCGGAGGGTGCGCCCATGGAGCTTGTAGCCCACCTTGGTTACTATGGCGACCGTGCCGGGCTCTTTATCCTCCACGGGGGCGTGAAATAGAGCCTCATGCTCATAGGGGTCAAACTTCTGCCCTCTGTCGGGGTTGAGCTTGAACAGGCCGTGCTTGGTGAACACCTTCTGGATCTGTTTATCTGTCATCACCAGGCCGTCGTACAGGTTCTTCAGGTGGGGGTTCTTCTGAGAGGTCACCTCCTCCTTGGGCACGCTCTCCGTCGCCTTCTCCAAGATGTCTGCCACCTCCAGCAGGTCTTTGCAGAACCCTTGGATTCCTGATAGGTGTAGAAAGAAAAGGAGAGATGTATTCTGTTAGCAAACATAGAACGAACAACACAACATCATGCAATATACCTACATATTAACTTTATACTGTGTGTTCCTTGCCGTCAATGAACCAAAATTATGGTTTTAAAATACCACCTATAAGTATGTCTGTCTACTGGGTCCGATTCACTGGTGAGAAGCAAATAAAATGTGCAAGCGTTAACGCACCATATTTCTTTGTGTCTTCCACCATCTTCTGACTCCTCGTCCTGAGGTTCTCCATGTCTGCCAGGGCCCGCTTGTACTTGTCCTGTAGACAGAGACAACTACACTAAGTCTGAGACCATACAGAGACCCCATGAGCAGATCTTTTTCTCAAAGCTCTTCTGACTATTGAGATTCAGCCAGGATGAAGTTAACCAGGTTGACATCACAGCAAAAACGTAAATACTAGTCTATGTATACCTTCCAATGTCCATACTAGTATAACACTAGGAATGTAAGCCTAACACATTGGCTTCATTCTAGGTAGTATGCTAGCGTGGATGTTGGAACAGAGCCTATGTAGTGGCTGGTGTAGTGAACCAGGAGTAGGGTGAAGATGCCCCTAGACTTGGGTCAGTATTGCTTTTTCCCCCACTAATGGTTAAGGTTGGATTGGGGGAGGGGAAGCTGATCCTAGATCTGTACCTAGGGAAACTTCACCCTGGAGCCAGACTCACTGTGACCTCTTTAAGCTGCTCCTCCAGCTGACCCTTCTCCTCGGCCAAGGCCTTCTCTACAGGGCTCTGCTCAGCCTTCTGGTCCTCCTCCGACCCCTGGCCGCTCTTCTGCTGAGCTGAGGTGCATAGGAGCCGCTGGGACGCCCTAACAGAACAGAGAGAGAAATGGGTTAGATACACAACAGGACTTCAGCTGTTTATGCAGTGGTCACTTCAGTTCACTGGTATTCTTGTAAATTAACGTATGTGTAGTTTTGGTTGCAACTACTTTAGGTACATGCGTCATCAGGCAAATCGCTAATTGGTGGCACGTGCCTTCAAAATGTTTCCTCCCCCTTGGCATCTTTCAGGTTGTCAATCTCCCACTTGGCGAATCTCTGATTGCGTGAGCCCTACTTTGCCAATATATAGGTAAAGTATATTGTGGCATTTTAGTAGCTAAGCCAACTGACTTGGCAGCATTGTGACTAGCTGAGCATAACGTTAAACCTGCTAATTAATGTTAGCTCATGAAAGCAGAGGTAGTTTAACTAGCTAGCTAGCCAGCTACGTTAGCAGATTGAGTTAGCTATGATAGTTAATTTTTGAAACAGCCTCATAGGATCCAACAATTTTTTATGTTCAACATTTCATGAAGTTAGTTAGCTTTCCTAGAAGAAATGTCCTACTAAACAATCCCATTATGAAATCAGCATATGACACTAGGTTGTAACGTTAGCTAACAAGCGCCAAGGGTGATGGCACAAGCTAGCTAGTTACTTTACAAACAACAACATTACAGACAATGATCTGAACAAACGTATTAAAAAGCACACTCGTAATGTATTACCTTATTAATGAAGGAAATGCTACAAAAGAGTAGCTCTGTCTTCCAGCTCGCACACACCAGCTCGCCATTTTCAGTGATAACACACGCAGAAGGAGCGTTATGTTGAGCCAATCACAAATCAGAAAGAGCTGCTCTTAGTAATCGCGTCCAATCAATGGTGGTATATAGATTTACGTTTTCCTGTAGTTTGGTTGAGGTGACGTTAAATGTCGAAAACTGTGCACGTGACCAAGGACAGAATTTGTTCGTTTTGTAAACTGAAGGTTATCCCTCTTTTGTAACTTTTGGCAGCGATGTATCATCACCAAACCCATCCCTGTCATTACTATGTTTTGGATTATTTGAATGGCAGATCGAATGGATGGATAGGGCAATGATGATAATGATGATGACTGTGGTGATGATGATGATCAGTAAGTTGGCCTGATGCTACAATGACATATGCATATAAACATTGCTTTTAATTCCAAATAAAAATATGACACCACCGAGCTTTCCTCTTGAATTTAAATTTGGATGGCAAGTCTGTCCATTTGACAATGTTTTATCCCAAGGGAGTCGCGAGAGTTTACATTTCACACGACTACAGTGCTGTGAAAAAGTATTTGCCCCCTTTCAGATTTACTCTATGTTTGCATATTTTTGATACTGAATGTGAACAGATCTTCAACTAAAACCTAATATTACATAAAGGGAACCTGAGTTTACAAATATTTATTTAATTAACAAAGTTATACAACACCCAATTCCCCTGTGTGAAAAAGTAATTGCCCCCTTACACTTAATAACTGGTTGTGCCACCTTTAGCTGCAATGACTACAACTAAATGCTTCTTGTAGTTGTTATTCAGTCTTTACCCTGTATGAAAAATGTAATTTCCCCTTACACTCAATAACTGGTTGTGCCACCTTTAGCCGCAATGACTCCAACCAAATGCTTCCTGTATTTGTTAATCAGTCTCTCACATCGCTGTGGATGAATTTCAGCCCGCTCTTGCATGCAGAACTGCTTTAACTCAGCAACGTGTAGGTTTTCAAGCATTAACTGCTCCTTTCAAGTCTCAATTGGGATTAGGTCTGGACTTTGACTAGGCCATTCCAAAACTTCAAATTTGTTGCTTTTTAGCCATTTTCATGACTTGATTGTGTGTTTTGGATCATTGTCTTGCTGCATGACCCAGCTGCGCTTCAGCTTCATCTCACAGATGGTTGGCCTGACATTATCAAGTAGAATTATCTGATACAGAGCAGAATTCATGGTTCCTTCTATTAAGGCAAGTCGTCCAGGTCCTGAGGCAGCAAATCACCCCCAAACCATCACACTACCACCACCATGCTTGACCGTTGGTATGAGGTTCTCACTGTGGAATGCAGTGTTTGGTTTTCGCCAGACATAATGGGACCCATCTCATCCAAAAAGTTTACTCAAGTTTGCCTTAAGCACCTGGATGATCATCAAGACTCTTGGAAGAATGTTCTATGGACAGATGAGTCAAAAGTATAACTTTTTGGACAACAATGGTCCCATTATGCAAAAATACAGAAAATCAGAAAGGGAGCAAATACTTTTTCACGGCACTGTATATGTCTCGTTAACAAACCATGGAGACTTGCAATCACACATTTTATAAAACTAGTCTGAAACTCCTCCAGGCAATGTTCATCTCAACTGACAAACCTCAAAGCCCTTCCTTTGCTTCACAGGAGCAGCTCAGAGAGAGAAAAAAAACAGAAGAACAGTTGTAAAAAAATCTCTGCAGCAGGCTCAAGGTGTATTGTCTGTCGGATGCAAAACGTTAGCACAAAAATCAGAGTCATTTTATGGCAATGACAAGTGGCCTTCAGAGTGCGTCTGACTGTCAAGATGGCCATTGTATTGGACGTCAGAGGTCAGCATGTGGGAGCTCTAGATAATAGACGAGTTTCCCACTAGTAATTACCAGTTGGAGGGCCCTTCAAGTGGATTTTTCCCAGTTGTACGTATAAATTCCTACTTCCCACTTCGTTACGAACACAGCATTAGTGCAGTTTGTGGCCTTGTGTTCCCAGTTTATAACTCCCCCTGGTGGGTCAAACGGGCATGATTACTTTTATCCCACAGCTCATTAGGGAATGGACCTGAAAGAAGAAGAAACATCACAGGTTTTGTGTCACATTTGAAGGAACAAATCAGCCTCAGATCATGCACAGTAGTCTATCTAACCCTTTAATTTTTCTCTCTCCCTCCCTTTTATTTTTCTCTCTCTCTCTGATCTCTCTCACTCTCTTTTTGGGTCACATCTGAAGAGGCGGAGCCAATTGATTTATATCCCTCCTCCACCTGAGCAGATGTTTTGATAAGCGTTTGATAACCACCAAATTATTCATTTGCAAAAAACGAAGCAGACAGAATCGCCGATCGGCGGTGTGTGCCCCTTACGGATTCCTCATTATTTGACACAGGCCTCGTGAGATGGAGCGTGACTCTGTGTTGTCGTTTGATGATCCCAGGATGGCGTCCTGTCGCACGTCTTTTAACATAATTAAGATGTACTGTGTACCCAGCCAGTGGCGATTTTAGAATGTAAATCTTGGTCTTGCAAGCTCAACATTTTTATTTTTTAATGCATGCCAGCAAAGCCACTACACAACCTAACATTAAATAATACATTAATTGCAATATACCGGTGACAAACGGTTCCTACAAACTGTTAGGGCCTACATAAAGCTGTCCCAACAGAAGAGCTTTCTTTTCAGCACCATGGAGTGAATACTTACCACCGCTACACCTGGCTATCAGCGGAACCGTGTCTGGCAGCAAAACTGTTCATTCAGCCTCATTTACTGCCTTTAAAAAAAAACATGGCTGACTTACTTACACAAATGTAGTTTCTACTGAAATTTGAGATGTACAAGCTATGGGGAACGATGAGCGGATAAGAGGCAATCCGTAATTTCAATTCAGACATTAATGAGCGAGCTAAGACGGACGTAGTCAATATAACTATTTATTCAGCACTTTTTAAATGTACAGCGACAGAATTCAGAACATGGCCCGTTCTTACAGTATTCTCCCTGTACACCAAGTCAGAAGCGTAGAATAAATAAAGGGGACATACAGTGAGGGAAAAAAGTATTTGATCCCCTGCTGATTTTGTACCTTTGCCCACTGACAAAGACATGATCAGTCTATAATTTTAATGGTAGGTTTATTTGAACAGTGAGAGACAGAGTAACAACAAAAAAATCCAGAAAAACGCATGTCAAAAATGTTATATATTGATTTGCATTTTAATGAGGGAAATAAGTATTTGACCCCTCTGCAAAACATGACTTAGCACTTGGTGGCAAAACCCTTGTTGGCAATCACAGAGGACAGACGTTTCTTGAAGTTGGCCACCAGGTTTGCACATATCTCAGGAGGGATTTTGTCCCACTCCTCTTTGCAGATCTTCTCCAAGTCATTAAGGTTTCGAGCCTGACGTTTGTCAACTCAAACCTTCAGCTCCCTCCATAGATTTTCTATGGGATTAAGGTCTGGAGACTGGCTAAAATAACCACTTTAAGCCGTACACTCCACAGAGCTGGGCTTTACGGAAGAGTGGGCAGAAAAAAGCCATTGCTTAAAGAAAATATGAACACGTTTGGAGACTCCCCAAACATGGAAGAAGGTACTCTGGTCAGATTAGACTAAAATTGAGCTTTTTGGCCATCAAGGAAAACGCTAATCTGGCGCAAACCCAACACCTGTCATCACCCCGAGAACACCATCCCCACAGTGAAGCATGGTGGTGGCTGGTAAACTGGTCAGAATTGAAGGAATGATGGAAGGTGCTAAATACAGGGAAGTTCTTGAGGGAAACCTGTTTCATTCTTCCAGAGATTTGAGACTGGGACGGAGGTTCACCTTCCAGCAGGACAATGACCCTAAACATACTGCTAAAGCAACACTCGAGTGGTTTAAGGGGAAACATTTAAATGTCTTGGAATGGCCTAGTCAAAGCCCAGACCTCAATCCAATTGAGAATCTGTGGTATGACTTAAAGATTGCTGTACACCAGTGGAACCCATCCAACTTGAAGGAGCTGGAGCAGTTTTGACTTGAAGAATGGGCAAAAATCCCAGTGGCTAGATGTGCCAAGCTTATAGAGACATACCCCAAGAGACTTGCAGCTGTAATTGCTGCAAAAGGTATTGCAAAGTATTGACTTTGGGCAGGTGAATAGTTATGCACGCTCAAGTTTTCTGTTTTTTTGTCATATTTCTTGTTTGTTTCACAATAAAAAATATTTTGCATCTTCAAAGTGGTAGGCATGTTGTGTAAATCAAATGATACA